TTTATTAAACGTTCAGTTACCCAAACATTTTTTTATTAATTTACTATTATTTATGTATCTTTAGTTCTCATTTCCTAAATGTTTCCATATAGATTTCCTTTCCATCCTCGTGCACCGATGCGTCCACCGGCACTAAAATTGGCAATTCAATCCAGACTACACCTTTCCTTTGTTGCGTTACGGCCGATCCCAAACATAGGAGCTCTTATATTTATTTCCTTTATGTTCCGCAATTTGATTCCTAAGGCCCCAACTTATGCTCTGATACCCAACTTTCCTGTGTCACGACCCATTTCCATGGACCGCGGAACGGGCACTAGGAACCTGGGTGGGCTTAAGGCCCCCGAAGCCCGTAGCTAAGCCTATATTATGCAAATCTCACTTTACTATCATAACTTGTGGGATACAGGCGCCCAATTTAATCTATTTCAAATTATGTATCACTAGTACCAGTTCATCTACAAACCCACTAGAATTTACAATTGCGGGAACTCTACCTGTACATTTAACATCATTCATTATTTATCGTTTTACAGTCTTCTTTTATTACTTATTGTTCTCAACTCCATAGGATTTTTCTTTTCTCTATTTACCTGGAAAAAAAAATAGGCAGGCTAGGAGTTGAGCGCCAAACTCAATGAGCTAGCGGTTAGATAAAACCCTCTCCACCCACACAATCAATACAATCGCTTAAAATATTTTTATTTGTTTATCGATTTAAATTTATGATCATGCAGTGTTCACACAAATGACAACTACACAGCAACCACAATTATTATCACCTTCATTAATTCAAACATACGGTGAAAATTAAGTCAGTGGCACCACCTGAAACCCCAACGAGCCGTCCTCACACCATGCTCGCCCTCTTCATTAACATGCTGCACCAGGGAGCCGATCCCCCATACGGCCAACTGGTTACTAATCCTCACTGACCAGTCCTTCTCATTGTTTTTCCATTCTCTCTTTTCTTTCCATACCAAACAGGGAGGCAAAAACCGGTTGTCTCCCATCCAATCTAGGATCATCAAGTGCTCACAACAGGAGGCCCACCCTGCGGGCCTACAATTCAAATACTAAGATTATTCAGTATCGTGCGCACAACAAGATGCCATCCTGGTGCGTTTCCATACAATCCATATTCATCAGGGTGCACACTCGGAACGGGGGCGCCGATCCCATTTCCCGCGGCCGAACGGTCAACCTATCACATACATATTCAGGATCCATTAATCACAAAACCGTCCTCCACAAAACCCATTGGTGGTATCCACTTCATCCCAAATTCCCCACACAAACAAGGCACAGTATATTCATTAGCACAAGTTAATCAAAACAAACTTTCAATATCAAACAAATAGCTACATCATTAATATTCGGCAATTCAACAAAATAATGGCATGCCAACATTTAGCCGTGAATGCATGATATGCAGTGCGGATGCATACTAGTTATTCTAAACACTTACTCACAGTTTTCTTTATTGTCCTTTTAAAGGACTGTCTTATTAGCCCACATGCTTCCAGCTTTTGTTCTCGCCATTTTTGGCTATTCCATTTAAACCTTTAAAAATAAACAATAAAATTATAAGTAAAAATTTTAATTTGACAGATTATATTTCTTATTCGTGTATTAGTTCTTGGTTATCAGTTATTTAAATTCACTTTATTAATTTAACTATATATATATTATATATATATATATATATATATATATATATATATAATATATGGATTTCCTTATTTATTATTTATTTACTTAAAGTTATTGCCTTTTAAATAAAAACGTTTAGTTTAGGTTGTTAAGTAATATTTTATGAGAATACTAACATTAAATATGAATATTAATAATTGATTTATAATTTTAGTCGGTATTAATTTATTAAACTATATATAAAATTCATACTCTTTGTTTATTTATTTATTTGCTTTATATATTTCAGATAAAGCTTGCCCGTTAGTAATTAATGTTCCATAATAAAATTTTATTTATTTTTCTACACAAAATTTTCGACAGGCAACCTCCCCTACAATTCAACTATCCACCAATTAACTCAGTCAATCATTTTATTTCAAGTTCTCATAGCCCAATCCACGCGGGCAAATCAATCCAGTTCACATGTAGCCCGTCCTTTCACATTTTAATTCCACATCAACCAATATTTTTGTTAATTTTTTCTTTAATTCCATAAATCATTAATTTTCCCAGCAATTTTTATTTATTACCAGAATTTTAATTTTAATTAATCACGTATATTTTATTAACCGACGGATCAACCACTTAAATTAAATTAATTCAACTTAATTCAAACTTGCTTAAATGAAATTATTAGAATTAATTTAATTAATTCAACTAATCAAACTTGCTAAATGAAATTATTAGAATTAATTTATACCCCGAAATTTAGAAATTTCTGTCGCAGGTTGCTAGATCGGACTTTTACGCGTGCCAAATCGAAACTACGCGCGCTGGAAGCGGCTGGACCACCTGAGGCCGACGCATGAGGGGCTGAGTTGCAGTGGTGGTGCTATCTGGCGGCGGAGTAGCTAGCGGTGCAATGGCAGGCGCGACAGATCTGCCCCTGGTGGTCGGAGGCGCGTTGGAGCTGCAACTGAGCTGAGGCACGACTGACATGTTGAGGCGCTGCTCCTGCCGACGGTGCTCGCCTGGACAGAGGCTAAGAAGAACGGCGAGCCGCTACGGTGCCAAAACTTCAAGCTCTTCCCTTTCAAAATAGATGCTGTTTTAGTTCAAGTCAAAGCCATATTCTTCTTCCTTGCATTGAGTAGAGGTTTTTAGAGTATCCATTTGCCAGATTTGGTGGCCGGAGGACGGAGATCGAAGGAGAGGGAGGAGGAGGAGGAGGTCGCGCAATCCAAGGGAAGGAGAAAAGAAAAGAAAAAAAAAGAGAGAAGGCGTTTCTAGAGGGTTCTGGGCCATTCCGGTTCGATTCGAATCGATTTGGTTCAACTCAACGATTTAGCTCAATTTTTGTTTGATTATCTGGTTTTTCTCCTGGTTTTAAGAAACTTTACGTCGATTTACAGTTCCTATTTATCAACAATTAACTATTTACTGAATAACCCCATTTTAGTCTTTCTAATTTGATTTATTTAATTATTTTAATTAAATTTAGGATTACTAATTGGTAAATATAATTTTATTATTATTTTAAGTGGTCCAATATCTCTAAAAATTTAAATTATTTTTCAACTAGAAGTTCCGATAACTTGTTTTGGGCTTGAGCCCAACTCGCAATTTAGGCCCAGATTAAAATTTACTCGGCACTTGAAGCCCATAACAGTCGCAAATTCAAGATTTTTTGATTTATTAAAAATTACAAAAGTTTTGAAAATAAAAATTCAGGCTATTACAAAAACCTTTGGGGGCAGCAACATTTGCATCTCACTTCATTGCAGCTTCGAACTGTAGGTCTTCCTGCCGTTTAGCTTGAAGGGGCTGCTTACAGATTAATTATTTGCGTTATATTATTCTCTGTTATTAAATAGATTTGTATGTAGTTTGTTATTTCTAATTGATAGTTCTTACACTCTTAGTAAGTTATCCTTGATGTAAACTACTCTATTATACAGAGTTGTATTTAAATAGAGTTGTATATATTCAATACGAGATATATCCTTTGTAACTACTCTATATACAGAGTTGTATAAATAGAGTTGTATTATTCAATACGAGATATATAGAAAACCCAATTCTTTCCAGATTTACAATAATAATACTAATATATCATCATCATCCTTATTATTATTATTCAACTAAATTTAAAAGTCATATAGTATTATTGAACTATTCAAAAAAAAAAACATTTATCTCTTAAATCATAATAATTATAAATAATTAAAATTATTTTTTTTATTACCTGTAAAAGTTATATAATATTATTTATCTTTTAGAAATTAAAATATTATATGTAATTTTTAATTAATATGTTTTAATGGCCATGGATTATTTATTTTTAATTAAAATATAATCTTATTAATTTGACTATTTTAAACAAATCATATTATTTATAACTATATATAGTTTTGGATTTTTGATAAAACTAATAATGATGATCCAAGAGTTATATAGTATTATTTATTTTTTATTTTTTTTGAAAATTATTTATTTTTCATTAAAATATTACATATTTTCTTAATCAAAATTTTTTGGTTTAAAATTATGATTTAAGAAAATTAAAATAGTTATTTGTATGGTTTGAGATTTTTAATAAAATTAATTGTGCTTGAATAATCTCTAAGAGATGAATAGTGTTATTTATTTTTATAATGTTAATAAATATTAAAATATTAAATATTTTTTAATTAAAATCTTTTTATAGCTATGGCTAATTTTCAATTAAAATATTATATATATAGTTAAAATATTTTAATTGGTTATGCTGAGGACGTTTTTACGATTTTTAATTAAAATTTTGTATTTTAATTAATATAATTAATGATATTTTAGAATTTTTAATTAAAATATTTTAAAGATATAATTAGAATATTTTAAAATATCTCTAATGTGATTAAGGATAAATTAAAAAATCTCATTATTTTCTCTTAATTTCCTTTTTTTTTTTATCGTGTCTCCCAATTTCTCAAAGATCCAACAAGGGTAGCCCATCGCTGCCTTCACATATTAGGCCAAAGAATGGGCCCCAACGAACTGGAGCCTAGAACCATATGCATAATGCTGTCCAACATTTTAAAACAAGTCATCAGACAACCTCAAACAAATGTCCAACCCCTGATGAACTATTTTACAGAATCAAGGTATCTCTGTTGGAATGGAAAATAGTAAAATAACATTTTTATTTAAGCTAAAAAAAGAAAAGTGGGCCACATGATGACGTGGAAATATCAATCTTGGTCCTGGGTCCCACAGAGTCCCATGAACTGTGAGTTTCCTTGATGGAGAAGGAGCGAAGGATTTGTCTGTGTCAGAATTCTGTTCGGGTAAAAGGAAAAAAAAGGCGAAGCCTATTAAAAAGGTCTTTGTTTCAACAGTTTGTTTAATCTCAAACTGTTTTTACTCTCTGGTAAGTCGGACACTAGTATCTCTAACTCTATCTTTTCTCTGTGGATATGTCAGTTTGTCTGTGTGCTTTAGGGTTCTTGAATTTGTGATAACGGATAAATTCGAATTTTGGGCAAGAGGTGCTCAGAAAAAGAAAGAAAAAGGAAAAATAAACACACCCTTTAAATACAGCCAGGTTTCTTTCTGAGAATAGCAAGTGAACAGTAAGTTCATGCTTTTTATTGTCTGTTCTTTGAAATTTTTATTTTTGTGTAGGATATAAATATATGTCCTCTTAGTTCTGTTTCTTGGTTTGTTATGCATGTTTTTGCCTTTTTAACAATTTTCAATTACTTGGAATTGTTTTATTTTAGTGCTCAATTTGTTCTTGTTTAAATTATAAGTTTCTCGTCTTTTGTTGTTATCATAGTTAATTATTGAATATGCATATCTTGTTTGATTGCAGTGAAATGCTATCCAGTGGGGTTATGAGGGTATAATCTCAATTTCCTTCAAAGGGTTTGTGCATATATAGTTCATTTTGAAATATGGCATCATCTCATAGTAATACTCACACTGAAGCAGCCAAACTGGAACAAATTATCACTGAATTCTTTGCTAAAAGTCTTCACATAATATTGGAGTCGAGGGCTCCTTTTGTGTCATCTCGTAATTATAGTGGTGAACAAGGTATATTGTCTCCATCTTCGTCTTCATCATCCTCCTCAGGTGTAAGGCCAAGAGATAAATGGTTCAATTTAGCACTTAGGGAATGCGCGGCTGCACTTGAGAATGTTGATATCTGGCGCCAGAGCAATAAAGAACCTTTGGTTGTTGATGTAATTTTAGTGCAGAGGCCACTTGATTGGGACCCTGTTAATTGTTCCCCAAAAAAGGATTTTGACAGGAATCTTTCAAATAAGGAACATTATCCTTTTAGTTGGAATTCAGATCAGGAAGAATTAGGATGTGAGGGTAAGGGTGAACAAATTTTAGAGCGATGGATAATTCAATATGAGAGTAGGAGGTCAAGGGATAATGGTTGGGGAAGTAGGAGATCAAACAATACTTTGCATATGTTGTATAAGAAATCAATATTGCTGTTGAGGTCTTTGTATGTTACTGTCCGGCTTTTACCTGCGTATAGGATTTTCCGTGACCTCAATGCATCTGGACAGATTGGCACATTTACTCTTACTCATAGGGTTTCTTCTTTTTTTGAGCCCTTCACTCGCAGGGAAGAGGCTGAAATGCAGCGATTTGTGTTTACTCCTGTGGATACTTCTTGTGGTAGGCTTTGCCTCTCAGTGATGTATCGTTCATCACCCTTGGATGTAAGCTCTGAATCATCAACTCCAATGTCCCCACAGTTTATCCCTGATTATGTTGGAAGCCCATTGGCAGACCCACTGAAAAGGTTCGAATCTCTTCCTGTGTCAAAAGGTTCTCCATCATCCTTGCCTTTCTCAAGACGGCATAGTTGGAGTTATGACCTTTATAAAACATCTCCACCTTCAATTTCTTTCTCACCATCTCCCACTCATTCAGAATCGCATGCATTGATTTCTAATCCCAGTTCCTGTCGCATCCCGCCAATGAACTTGCCCCCTCATCCGCCTGAAACTTCTTCAGTTCATAAGAAGAACATGAGCTTTGATGAGTGTAGTCCTTCCCCTAACTTTACACCTTCCCCATCCCCATCACCTCCTATCTATATTCCTGGGAGTCACCTTTCCAAGGCTCTTTTGCGTTCTGAAAGTGCACCAGTTGGCATACCTGTAGGCAAACTTGCTAGTTCCCCTGTGTTTTCCAACAAGCCAAATGTGCCTCCATCACCTCCCTTCCAAAGTATCAGATCTGGTATTCCTAAAATTGATTCAAGTACAGGTTTTGTTCAGACTGAAGCATCAGTTGAGAAGGTATTATATGCTCATTACAGTGAATTTTTATGTCAAAGCCTTTTCTTTTGGTGTAAATTAATATTATTTTGTATGGTACAGTTGTTCTCTCTTGGAAAAGATGACATTAGAAAGTATTCGGGGATAAAGATATCATCCAATATTTCCCCACAAATTTCATTTTCCAGAAGTTCCAGCAGGTCTTTTCAGGATGATTATGATGATCCTGACTTTCCTTGTCCATTTGATGTGGAGGAGGATGAGATGACAGATCCAGGGAGCAGGTAATTGGTTGAATGGTTTGTGCTACCAAATTATAAACTGCTTGTATTTAATTTTGAGTGGAAAATGATAGGGCCTGTTTGATTGGATGTAGGGCAGCCATACATTAGCACTCCATCTGCGAAATTAGGTGTTTGGTTAAGCAAAAATAAGGTCCTGTTATTTGAGTATCCAATCTCTAGCTTTTGTGTTTATAGCTAATAACAACCCATGAATCCAAAGGTATCAGAAAGCTAGAATGGATTTGTTACCTCTGGGTTTGTTACCTCTGCCATGTTCTGATGCTAGAGGCACTGCTTATCCTAGGTCTTGTATTGGCTGATTGAGCCATTCCTCCATTCTATAAGAAAAAAGGGATAAAAAAAACTCTACCTAGTGATGGTTTTCCCTTAGCAAGTAACCCCTGGGGTGGTGGGTACTGAATGAGAATTTGGAAGAGGAAGTTAATGAAGGTAAAGGAGTTTGACTAATGTTATTTTGTTGGTAGTCTTAAAAAATAGGAAATGTGTGTAAAACCAACTATTTACGAGCCTTACATCTGGCCCCTTGACCCCTTATTTGGGTTAAGAAAAATAGATATTTGGAGATTAATGGATGTAAACACGCTTGATTAACTTCTATTTATATCCTAAAATAACTTCTCAACAGAGACAAGAGATTATCCTCGATTTATATTTACTCTGACCCCATCAAACCTACTCTAATGCAATGCCTTAGGAAACAAGGAATTTTGGTTTCTTGGGGTTCAGTTTGTTTAGGCTAGTTTTTGAGGTATCAGAAAGCTAGAATGGGTAGAGATCTAGGTATAACAGCCAGCACTTGTTAACCTAAAGTACCAAAAAGCAACAATAGCATAGGGACAACAAGTTCTGGAGTTTGTGGAGAAATATAAGCTACAACAAATAGTATCTTGAACAGAAATTAGAAGTGTTTAGGCTTCACAACTAAGCTTCTTTAGGTATCATGCCAAGGTCTCAGAAGCATTCACACCTAGAATTTGTTGCATCTTACAACTCAAGGAAGCTTTTTTTTTTTTTTTTTTTTTTTTTTTTTTTTCTTTAGGTATCATGCCAAGGTTTCTCAGAAAGCATTCCACCTTAGAATTTGTTGCATCTACCAACTCAGAGCTTTTTTTTTTTTTTTTTTTTTTTTTTTTTTTTTGTTGTTGTTGTCAAGGGCCGTAACTGAAGTACAGGCATTACTCAATAAGATTTTAGAAGACTCAATTTTTTTTTTTTTTTTTTTTTTTTTTTTGTTGTTGTTGTCCAAGGCCGTAACTGAAGTACAGGCATTACTCAATAAGTATTTAGAGACTCAAATTATAACTGAGTCTCTAAGAATTAAGACTTTGAAAGAAAACTAGAAAGATCAACATTCTAAATCAAAATGGAGTAGGATATAAGCATAACATGAACCGTTGCAAAGAAAACTCCCAAATTATGTATTCTATGTAATTGACCCTACCACAAAATAGAATGGAATCTAATATGCCTAAAAAATCAGGAAGTCTATCTTGTTATCATGTCAGCGGCACTTGTTATATTTTCTGATTGAAATTGTCCTATATCATGTGAAGGTTGCAGCTTGAGAATGTTGAGTAGCCTTCTTGTGTTCTTTTTGATACAAGATGTGGCTGGTCATCATTTTTTAGTGGATGCTACTAATAGGAGATGATCTTAAGCATCTTATTTAATGTGTCTTCCATTGAATCCAATTTTGTCTTCATATCTTTCTAGTGTCAATGAAAAGAGATAAAAAATTTGAATTCAAATTAGTGTTTCTCACCTTAGATGAAGAAGATCTAGCAACAACTTCAAGATTCTTGAGGCTTTATTAACAAATTAACGTATTACAAAATTCCAGCCTTTTTGAGCACTATAACAAAAGCATACGAAATTTTTTGTGTTTACTTCAAAATTGTATTAGCAAGTAATATTGTATATTTTAACCAAGTTGTATGAAATGGTATGCCTAATTATTTGGTTCATAATTTGTGAACTGACATATCACAAATATCACAGGTGGATTCTCTGTGTACATGTTTGGCCTAGAACTTTGGCATACCTAGCCCTATTTTATATGCATGGTAGGCCAAGCTCCCTTTCTAAGCCATTCACGTAGACAAACTTGCGTGCACCTTTAGGGTTGCGTAGGTGTGCACTTTGGGGTTTGAGGTTTGTGGGATGATTACTAAAATCTCCGTGATATTTTGCATGGATAGCTTCCTTGGGGTTGCTTAAAAATATTTGTTTAATCCCTATATTCTTTCTAAGCCCTATACACATTTCTGGTGCATGAGTTGTGGCTTGATCTTTGCCATACATGTGCTACGATTTTATCATGTTAAACAAATTTGGACATTCAAACTGGGCACTTATGAGGCTAACCATTGATGAATGGGATAAAGGTTTTTCTTTTCTAGCTCTATTCTGGTAGAAGTGATTATTTAGTCCTTGCACGCGTGATATGAGTGAAGCTGTCATGGAATTTGTGCAGAAAACATGGTAGTGTTATTAAGAGCATGTTGCAGCATAAGTGCAATGAAGGATGACATTGAAAGTCATTGCTTCTCTTTTACTGCAATTTGCAAACTTCAATTTGTGCTATTGTATTAGCCACATAATTTGTGCATGCTTCATTGCTTATGCGTGCTTGTGTATGCAGGTGGACATGTGTGACCAAGAATAATGAACCATGCAAGGTTTTGGATTCATATAGCCAAAACCCAAAATTTTCTGTTCTAAAGATAACAAAGGATTCATATGCCACACTCAACTAGTTTGGGACTGAGGCTTAGTTGTTGTTGTTGTTGTTGTGTGATTGAAGCAAATACATAGGGCAGAGCACAGTTTGGAAAACACCGAACTAATGAACCAAACCGACCCAGTTCGATTTGATATTTATATGACTGGTTTTATTTTCATTTTAACAGAAAGGATAATTTTTTCCTTTTCAGTCCAGTTTTTATTAAACCGAAAAAATAAGCTCAAATCTGCAAATAGTTAAAAGTGAACAGAACTGTACTGAACCAATTTGGTTTGTTTCAGTTCTGTACACTATTGGGTTTCGGTTTCGTTTGCATCTAAAAGAATTTCAGTCCATTACAATTTGCATCGGTTAAACTGAACGGACTGAATGCTCACACCTACTAATATATTCACATATTTGATTGAGCCTCACTTTTTACATTCTGCTGGAGCATACATGTTTTTTCTTCAAATTTGGTGCTGTAGAACTATCTTGTGGGCCAGTGAACTAAAAATGGAGAGGAACAGCAAGTAAAAACCATGGGTGAAAATACTTCTATTATTTGGCTCAAATGTATCAGCCTCAAAAACTTATTTGCTCTATTTATCTGGCAGGCCTGAATCATTTGATCAACAAGGGCATTTATGTGATCCACTTGAGCCAGGAGGGCTCTTTCCAATTAGAAAATCACAGGATGCTGCTGTTGGTGCTCTTGTACGTATGCTGAAGAAAGCACCACCACTACGCCAGGATTTCTCCACACAAGTTAATTTGTCACAAGAACCCAGTTCCAAATTCAGCAGCAGCAGCCTCCAAGAGCATTGTGGATCACCTGCAGCTCAGCAGGCTTCTTCAAGTATAGTGTCTTCAGGTCTTGTTTCATCAAAGACGACAGCTGATGCACTGGAAGAACTTCGAGGTTACAAAGAGATGATGAAAGACTTGTTGCTTAGTCAAGCTGGTAGGTCTGACGTGTCTGCTAATCCCTCTTCGATGCGAAAGCCTACAAGCAGCAGTCCAGCTGGTTTTTGAACTCTTGTTGATAGTTGCATATATATATGTACAGCATAATGGTTTAAGATGTTATTTATGTTATACAGATGAATGCTCTATAACCCCATTTCTTTTGTATATATGAGGTGATATGAATGGGGTTCGTAAATGTTGAAGGGTTATTATTAGCTTTTTGGTAGGTAAGTTCTCTACTTTGCCTATAACTGCTTAAAATATTGAGGTTGGCTTTTCAGCCATGCATCAATGATATATTTCTCTTTTTTGGCGCAATTTATGTTTTTGCCTGTTTTTCAATGTTTTTTTTTTTTTTTTTTTTTTTTTTTTTTTTTTTTTTTTTTTTCTTTTGGCGCAATTTATGTTTTGCCTGTTTTTCAATGTTTTTTTTTTTTTTTTTTTTTTTTTTTTTTTTTTTTTTTGTGTATGTGGTTTTTTTTTTTTTTTTTTTTGTGTATGTGGTATTGCAGTGTCTCAGATACGACATGCCGTCCAAACTGATTTTATGCCTTATTTTTCTTGATTTTACTATCTCAAGCGTCCTCTCATTTTATCTCCAATTTTTGCTATTTGTACATTTTGACTAATGTGATATTTATAATTTTGTTCAATCATGTTTGACCACAAATTAATCTCAGCATTCGCATTCCCGCGACATTGGCCAAGGCCAAATAGATAGATATGTCATTGAACTTTTCAAATAAAACATTACGACACCTTAAAATTTGCGAATGACCTATTATATCCTTATGGTTGTAAAAATATCTGTTATGTCTTTATAATTGTAAAAATCGATAACTTTATACGCCTCACATAATAATCTTAGAACAATTAAAAGAGCGTGTCTACAAAATTTCTTTTCTTCTTTCTTCATCTTCTTTTCTAATCTCTCTCTCTCTTCTATTTCTTTTCTTCTTTCTTCATCTTCTTTTCTAATCTCTCTCTCTCTCTTCTATCTATTTCATTATTCTTTTTCTCTCTTTCTCACTCTGTCTCTCTTGTTCCTCTCTTTCTCTCTAGCTATCCTTGCTGAATCCAAATGGTAAGGACGCTGTAGGGTTTTTCTAAAAAAGTTCAGAGACATATTTATGTATTTGACCACGCAACATTCATCTTGTAAACATGTTGAGCATTTATTATCCAACACTCACTCTCATAAAGCATTGTTAATTTGATCATAATCTTATATAACTTACCATTCATTACATCATGGGCGAAATGTATAGATTCACTCTTATACTTTATAAATTCAAAAAAATTATGGCACCCTAAACTTTAGAGGAGACCTATTATGCCTTTGAAGTTGTGAATTTTGGTAACATTATGCACCTCTTTATACTAACAATAAAAATTTCTTGGTGTTTTTGACTTTTATGTACAAAATATTAATTTGATATGTAATTAGTATAACTTTTAGAACATTAATTTTAACTTTTTTTCAATTATTCAATAAGTGTTTAGTAGATCTAATTTTATAAGTTCAAGTATTCAATAAAATAATTTTTCAAGTTAAAGTGTCTAATACGTGAAATTTTATATAAATTGAAGTGTTCAATTAATCAAAATAAAAATTAAGAGTGCCACAGGATTTATTTATATAAATATACATGGGTAATTTTATGCATCTGAGTCTTGTGCCATGCTTGCTCCTCTGTCGGAAATATGGTTTAAAATTGACAAGGACTTCTTTATGATTGGTTAAACAGGAAATCTAATATAATGCACACATTGAAACCGGGTTAACGAATTAATTATCCCAAACTTGTACATGTTATTGCAATTTTGTGTTAATTTTTTAAAATTTATTATTTTATAGCAGTAAAATATTTTTATTATTGTAATTAAAAAGTGACAATACTTTTATTATTTGTTAGAATTAAAATTTTTTTTCGTTCTTTTCCGTTCAATTTCTCTCTATATTTCCATCATTCCATTACACTTTTTTTCCTTCAAATTTATGAAACAAATTTAGTCTTTTGAAATATAGTTTTTAAATGAAAACCAAAACCTCTCGCCGCGTAAAACCATCAAAATCTTTGTCATCGCCACAAATCTTTTTTATCATTGAATTATTATTATTTTTTTTGTCATTGAAATATAGTATCCTCGAATTTATTGTATATCATTATTCTTTCCCATTATTCTTTCCTAAAGTAGGTCAACTATATAAAGCAATCTTAAATCGCATATTAAAACATAGTCTAATAGTAAATACATATATGACCCGACAATAGATCCGAGTTCGAACCTACTCCCCAATACTCAAAAAAAATAAAGCATCCTTAGGTCAACTATGTAAAGCCTATAAATAGGCACTCTCTTGTATAGTATAATTAAGGTAGCACTATACGATCTTAATTGCATTCAACTTGGTATCACTCACCTGTTATATCTCTTGGAGTTCGCAGATGCTTTGGTTTTTGCAGAGCCGTCAGCTTTAAGGTTATGTTACTGGTTCTGTTACTACACCTCTTTCCTCAACTTCTGATTAAATCACACGTATGCCAGATTGGGAAGCTAACACTGTCAAGATCATAAGTTGGCTTGCTAACATCACCTCACCAAAAATCGTCAACTCCTCTTTCCTCAACTTCTGATTAAATCACACGTATGCCAGATTGGGAAGCTAACACTGTCAAGATCATAAGTTGGCTTGCTAACATCACCTCACCAAAAATCGTCAACTTTTTGATAATTTTTAGACAGCAAAGCAAGTTTGGGATTTCTTGGCTGCTATAAATACAGTCGTTGATCAAAACTCCTAGTACCATATTGATTAAGAACTCCAGTCTCTTAGACAACAATCTGGTCAGTCAGTTCGAGATTATTATCTCCATGGAAATTCTATGGGATAGGTAGTCTTACCCACAACAATGCAGCTTTTGCATAGTGCATTACAATAATTAAGGTAACAACAAACATCTTCGACAGTTTTTGATGGGCTTGCAAGACAAATATGATGAATGACATTCTTCGCTTCTCAATCAAATTCCTCCTTCCACTCTAAAGCCTGCTCTTGCAGATATCAAATATGAGGAAACCCGAAAGAACACAATTGCCTGTTTTTATTTCTCTGCGGGAAACCGTATCATCTCAGTCTATACTGGCAACTTCTAGCTTTGTTTAAAAATCAACTCCTACGATATAATGCTATTATCACAAAGATGAATACACAATGTAGATTGTTGCACTCAAGGCTCGGGATGCAAGTAAACAGAAATCTTTCTCTTGTCTAGCAGCTGCAGTCACGGACAAATGTAACCTCCTCTAAGTCTCCTTCTGTCTCCACTCTGCAGTCTACCTCAGATGAACTGATGGTGATCAATCAGCTAACTCAGTCCCATAATATTACTTCATTTAGTTTTATAATAAACTATATTTTTTCCATAATAATACGTCAATATCAAAATATATTTATAATACATCATTTAGTTTTATAACAAAATATATCTTCCATATATTTGCAATGGCAAGAAGGATTTTTATTTCTGTGATCACTATGATTATTTCAATCATGACCCCATTGATACACTCGGTCACAACTATGTCCTTGTCCTCATTCACACTCATTGATATACTCGGTCACATTTGCAGAGAAGCCCATACCAACCATTTCGTCAGTAAGTTGTGTTGCCATGAACAAATCATTGTTTTTGAGATATCCTTGGATAATCACATTATAAGAGCAACTATCTGGCATGCAACCATTTCCTTCCATTTCGTCAGTAAGTTGTGTTGCCATGAACGAATCATTGTTTTTGAGATATCCTTGGATAATCACATTATAAGAGCAACTATCTGGCATGCAACCATTTCCTTCCATTTTCCTGAAAACCCTCAATGCTTCATCTACTAATCCTTCCTTACAAAGTCCATTTATCATTATATTGTAAGTGTAAATACTAGGCTGCAATCCTTCTATGGAAAGTTTAGAAAATAGTTCCTTTGCATTTTTATGCCTTCCAGCTTTGAACATACCATCAATTAAGGCATTATAGACAATATGATTAGGCTTCAATAAGTTCGTTTGCATTTCATGAAATAGGGTCAATGCCATATCTATACACCCATACTTACACAGAAGCCATCTATCAAAACTGAGTAAGCCACCACATTTGGAGAATGGCCACTAGCACACAAGTTCATGAAAAACTTATGTGCATTCCAAGGGCTCTTTGCTTTACACAAGCCACACATAAGAGAATTATAAGTGGCATGGCTAGGAATCAAGCCTTTGCAAGACATTTCATCGAGAAGCTGCATTGCCTCATCTATCATTTTTCTCTTACAGTAACAATGAATTAATATATTGTAGGTAAAAACATTAGTTGTACAACCCTTGCTTACCATTAGATCAAACATTTCTCTAGCTTGATCCACTTTATTGTGTAGACAATATCCATCCATCAATGAACTATAGGTGATAACATCAGGTTTCATTGCTCTCTGCATCATTAATTCGACCACATCACGAGCCTTTGAAACCATTCCTTCTTTGCAAAGTCCATCAATCAACCCATTGAAGGTAATTAAATTTGGTGTGATGTTCACTTCCGACATTTCATTAATCAGCATAACAGCTTTCTTCCATCGGCCTGACTTGCACAGACCATGGATTAACGAGTTGTAAGTCACAACATCAGGCAAGATACCTTCACTCTTTATTTTCAAGAAGAGGTTGAATGCCTCAATAACCAACCCATCCTTTAAAAGGCCATCGATCATAGCACTATATGTCACCACATTAGGCTTACAACCTTCCTCGACCATTCTATTCAGCATTCCAAAGGCCACATTGGTTTTCCCAATTTTACACAGACAGTTCACAATCACAGTATAGGTATAAATATCAGGTTGATACCCTTTTGCAACGATCTCATCAAACAATTCCACAGCTTCAACAAATTTATCCTCTCTAAAAAGCCCATTAATCAAGCTATTAAAGGTTGTAATGGTAGGCCGAAAACCAAGTTTGATGATTTTCCCCACGAGAGAGTACCCAAAATTCACACGGTCTAGGTGGGAAAAGCAATTGATCAAAGTACTAATAGAATAAATTTCAAGTGAAATTCCAAAAACTTCTATCTCTTTATACAAAGAAATGACAGTCTCATAATGTTAGAAGTGCAGAAAATAATTGATTAAATTCTCAAATGGGTGGTGAGGGATTCCTATGAAGCATCAAACTAAACGAAGATAAAGCATCATCAATGTTATCGAATGAAACAGATTTGCCTTTACCTCTCCTACGTGTGTTGCTGCTAGAACTACTGTAAGAAACAGAATCAAAAAATACCCGTCAGCCGATGAACCCGAAAATTGGTAAGGCGTCTCCAGCTGCTAGTTGACAGCATCTTTTCTCTATGCTTCACAAAAGCGAAAGACCAAATATTGGATACAGCTTTTGGAAGAAATTTGATAATGGCGAAAGAGAATTCGGCTCTCCTTCTTAAGTTAAATCTCGCTTCTTGAATAATGAAAAATGGGTCGGATCACCCATGATGGGTCAACCCGGTCCAAAACATATCACATTTCTTTTTTAGACCCACAGCCTACCAGGATTATTGTTTTTACGACATTTGACGAAGTTCATTGAGATATTTCCACAAATGCATATTTTGGAGGCTATACTTTATCAAAAAAAAAAAAAAAAAAAAAAAAAAAATTAAAATCTCTTTCCTTCTTGAATAAATGAAAAATGGGTCGGATCACCCATGATGGGTCAACCCCGGTCCAAAACATATCAGCATTTCTTTTTTAGACCACAGCCCTACAAGGATTAGTTGTTTTTTACGACATTTGAAACGAAGTTTCATTGAAGATATTTCCACAAATGCAATATTTTGGAGGCTATACTTTATCAAATAAATAAAAAAAAAAAAAAAAAAAAAAATTGGTGGCTTCCTTATACTTTTGCGGGTCCTAATAAAGGTACTATTAATTGTTTTTTTCGTAATTTAGTCAGAATACCTCAAATGCAAAAGAAGCGGCGTTACAAGTAATTATCTTACTGTCAAAAATATATGCCATGAAAAAAAAAAAAAAAAAAAAAAAAAAAAAAATTGTGGCTCCTTATACTTTGCGGGTCCTATAAAGTAACTATAATTGTTTTTTTCGTATTTAGTAGATACCTCAAATGGCAAAAGAAGCGCGTACAAGTCACATTATCTTACTGTCAAAAATATAATGCCATGTCAGAGAAAGAGCTACACATTACATGCCACATTAGATAATATGGTTTCTTTCTTTCCAAGGTAGACTTTCTAATTTTCAGTGTTTTTTTTTTTATTTGCAAACAACCAATGCATTAACTGAGAAAGAAAAGCTTGGAAAAATAAATCCCTAAACTAAATTAGAGCAAACGAAGGAGAGATTGTGAGAGAAAATTCTTCAACTCGAATCGACCCATTGCATTTGTTGCGAAATGGATCCAGGTGAAGGAAAATTGAAGAGCTACTTTACAATCCATAAAGGTATGATTTGGGTTAGATTAAAAGTGTTTAGTTTTGATTTTGAAGACTATTGCATGTTGTTTTTTTGTTTTATTTGTGTAGAATGATTGACATTTGTGCTTTTTTGAGAGGGTTTCACATGCAACAGTCAAAGTTTGGTTTTTTGAAATTAGTTAAAAGAGTTAGGGTTTTCAAGGGGTTTCAGATGCACCTTCTACCTCTAATTTGGTATTTTGTTAAAATAATGAAATTATTACTTAAAATGTGTGCTTTGTATTTGGGTTATTTGCTGGAAAGTATTTGGGTTAAATGTTCCATTTTTTTTGCACTGAGAAGAGGATAAATATTTTATGGGTTCATGGGGGGCATTTTGAAAATATACCCAAAGGGTATACATTGGTGGAAGGAGAACCGTAGAAGCATTTGTTTACCCTGACAGATGCTCTATCATTGAGTGTCGTGCTAAAGCACTTGAGCTAAGGTACAGTAATGTGATAGGGTTCTTCCATAGATGGTTGGTGGCAAATGAGACTGAGGTTTTTACTATCTTGGACACTGGTAGAGACCTACTGGTGGCATTGGATTCCATTCAAAATGGAGGAACATTGGAGATTTATTTTGAGCATGGAGTTGATGTTGCTGAAGTTATGGAGGATGGTGCAGGTTTAATAGAGGGTATTAATGAAGGAAGTGAAAATGAAGGAGTGGATAAAACGAGTGAAAATGAGATTGGGGGAAACATGCAAAATGCTTTTAATGAAAGTGCCAACCTGTCAGGGAGTAATGTGCAAGCCGATAAGTGTGGTGGGGTTAATTTGAAGATTCGAGCGGGGATGGGGCAAATGTGGAAGAGTGTGCTGGGGATGGGTCAAATATGGAAGATTTAGATGGTGGTGGGGCCAATGTACAAGGGTTTGAGGTGCTATAAACAAATGTGGTAAGGGCAGATATTGAGAAGGCTTCTGTAGCATCTAAAGAAGGGCATTGCACAGAAATACATGATAATAGCTCTAATGGAGAAAGTGAAGAGGAGAATAATAGTGATGAGAGTGAGGAAGATTCTTTTGTTGATGAGGATTATGAGGGTGATGAGGGAGATGACAAAGATGGAAGTGATGTGAATAAGGAGCTCATATTTGCAAGAGAAAGAGGTAGAAGTTTTAAGAGGAGATCCAGGGTTCCAGGGGGCGATGAAGTTGAAGATATGCCTCTTGGTGAGGCTAGAGATGATTTTGGCTTTAGAGGTGAAGACCTTCTAAATGACAGATACAAGGGGAAGACAGGGGCAAATGAACCTTACTATGATAGCTCAGATCCAGACAACAGAGAGGTCAGTGATGATGATGAAACTGAGGGGGGGGGTGTAGAAGGTACCTCAGGTAAGAAAAAAAGCAGAAGCTTGCATTATGATCCTAACACTAATGTGCCTTACTTTGAATTGGGTATGATATTTGATAGTGTAGTTGAATTTAGAAGGGCAGTAAGTAAATATGTAGTGGCTATGGGTGTTGATATTACTTTGAGACCTAATTGTAGGACTAGAGTGAGAGTCAAATGTAGGGAGGCTTGTCCATGGTTATTATTTGCTAGCATTGAGTCTGAGATAAACAATTTTATTGTAAGACATACAAACCTCATCATAGGTGCTATAGAACTAATAAGAACAAATAGTGCAATTCAAGTTTCATTGCTAGGAGAATTCAAGAAAGGATTTTGTCTCAACCTAGTATTAAAGTTAGAGACATTCAAGACCTGTGTAAGAATGTTTTGGGTGTTTATGTAGGTAAAACAGTAGCTAGAAGGGCAAAGAATAAGTTGTTAATGGCTATCATAGGGGATTATAGGGTTGAATTTCCAAAATTGCATGACTATGCAGATGAGATTAAAAGAACCAATCCTGGTTCAAATTGATTTGCAAGATGCAAAAGGAGAGATGATGGAATGCAAGATTTTAAAAGATTTTACATGTACTTGTACGATTGTAAGCAAGGATTTTGACGGGTGTAGGCAGATATCTAGGTTGGATGGGTGTTTTTTGAAGGGTCCAATAGGTGGGCAACTCCTGGTTTGTGTGTCTAAAGATGGGAAGGGCTAAATGTTTCCCATTGCTTGGGTTGTGGTGGAAATTGCGAATACTAAGAATTGGACATGGTTATATCAACTCTAAATCAAGATCTTGGCATTTCTAATGGACTAGGGTGGATAGAAGTGACTGATATGCAAAAGGTAAAGCGAAAACTCCTTTTTTTTTTTTAATTCCTTTCAACATGTGCTTCACTGACTTTTGTTAAATACAACATCAATGTAGGGTTTTGATAAGGCAAACACTCAAGAATTGCCTGAAGTGGAGCATAGGATGTGTGCAAGACACATATGGACTAATTGGGCAAAAAAAAAAATGGAGAGGATAGGAAAGGAGGAAGAAATTCTAGGAGGTTGCTAGGTCACCATTTGAGGTAATGCTTAAGGATAAACTTAAAGATATCAGTAAATTAGAAGCTAGTGGAATAATTGATGACTTGCTTTACTATAATCATGCAACATGGTGTAGGGCATTCTTTAATACAAACACAAAGTGTGATGTTGTAGAGAATAACATATGTGAAACTTTTAATGGTTGGATATTAAGTGCTAGGTTGAAGTCTATTACAACAATGTTGGAAGAAATAGGTGCAAAGTAATGGAGAGGATTAAGGATATGAGGGAATTCTCTAAAACTTGGATTTTTGATATATCTCCAAAGGCAATGGAGAAGCTTGAGTTGCACAAAATCCTTGCAATAAAAATTGCACTCCAAGGTGGAATGGTGAATCTGGATATGAGATCATTGAGGGAGAATATCAACATAAAGTGGATTTAAGGTTACTGATTTGTACTTGTAAAAGTTGGGATTTGAAAGGGATACCTTGCCAACATGTTATTTGTGCAATGTATCATAAGAAGATGAACCCTGAGGATTATGCGCATCACTGGTACATAATTGACACTTTAATAAATCCTATAGACACTGTATCCAACCAGTTAGATGAATGAAACTATGGCCTGAGTCTCAAAATCTAATCATTTTACCACCTAAACCCAAAGGAACTAAGCCTGAAAGAAATAAAATAGCAAGGAGGAGAGATAAGGATGAGCCAAAGAAGGCAAAAATAGGAAAGTTAATAAGAAAGGGTATACAAATTACATGTAAAATATGGAAAGGGGTGGGTCATAATAAGAGGGGATGTCTACAGAGGAGAAATGATGGAGTTCAGGTACCAAATATACTATGTTCTTAATATTTGCTTTATTAACAGTCATTGCATTCAATTAATGGAAAATACATACTAATTTAAGGGCTCCAACATAAACTCTAAGGTTGCTCAGCCTACTGCCTCCACTACATCACAAGTGACTGATCCATCTCCCTCCAATAGGCCACAATCAGTGCAAACAAACACACTACCACGAACAGCCAAAATGATAAGATCAACCTCAACTACACAAGTTAGGTCACCTGTCACTCCATCTCTTGTTTCAAGATCAAATATAGCTACAACACCAAATCAACATGAAGGTAAAATTTATACTATGATGTTTTTCTACTGCAATTTGATATTTTGTAAATATTTATTGTATTATGTGATTGAATGATGGAGTACTATGTTGAGACAGTTGGAACTAGTAATGATTTTTATTCTGGTGTTGCTACACCTACTGTTGGAAGGGGTAGGTGTGAAGGTTCTTGTGGAAGGGGTAGGGGGTAGGGGTGAAGGTTCTGATGTTGTAGGTTATGATGGAAGAGGTAGGGGTGAAGTTTCTACTACAAATGTAACAGCAGCTGGAAGGGGTAGGGGTGAAGGTTCTAGTACAAATGTAGTTGCTATTGGAAGGGGCAACGGTGAAGCTTTTGTTGGTGACAAGGGTAGAGCTGCTGCATTAAAAAGGAGTTATGCTGGTCCCACATTTGCTTCCCAAGCAAAGAGACATGTAGGTCCTTAGGGCGTGGGAGTCTACATTAATGAAAGGACAGGGGAGA